CGCTATGTGACGGCATGGAAATAGCAAAAGGACCAATTCCAACTAAACTTCACAAACTATAACCACTTTGTTTCACTAATCTTTGTCTTAAAGGGAGCGAGGACTACACACTTGAACAGCACCACCTCAAGGACCACAGTTACATTCCTGTGAGATGTGCATTCATTGGATTTGTGTAAAATGTGCATATGCTGTGCAAATGCTATATGTTTGTCATGGCACCTGTATGTAAACACAAAGACCTCTCTACACATTATGCCCTTCGGGTAAAAATATTTGCTGGCAGTGAACAGAGGTGAGACAAGCAGTGAAATTATAATGAAGAGAAGTATGGCAGAAAAGAGTGAATGACCTTATAGGAGAAAAGTTCTAAATGTTTAAACAAAAGCTGAAAATCCTACTTTAACTGTTTAGCATGTTCCTAGTTCACAAGTTGAATTCACATCCACTTCGCCTCCCACTACACTTCTACAAGACTCCTTTGTCTTTGTCTGTCTTAGAGTAACGTGGCTGACAATGTTGGTTTAGTGCTGATTAACACTTATCACCAAACAACTTAAGTACAACTTAAGCGCACGTGGAGGTCATATGTGATGTCAGATATTCAAAAATCCAAAATATTTACAAATATCAAACATTTTTGGACCATGATTACCAATGAAGCATGATTACAGGTTTAGGTATTACCAAATATAGTTCAAGTTGTCTTGGAGAGAACCTCAATGTATTTACAAAATCCATGGTAATCAACAAAACACATCAGTCTGGGCCCAAGTGGACACCTAACTTTGCAACAAATAAAATAAAAAAGATGATTTTCACAGTGAATTACTCGTGATAGAAACCACTTCTGTTTCGCCTCTGGCCACATCCCATTCAGTGAAGTCACAGCAGGAGTTTCCCTTCATCTGTTTGAATCAAACCTTCTGTAATATCAGCGATGGGTGGTTTGGCCAGAAGGGCACCATTTAAAACATTTTCATTCTTAAGGAAGGATACTAGGGTTCAGATTGAAAGCTTAGTTGGTGATGCCAAACAATAAAATATATATAACACAAGCTGGAAAGGAGTGGCAGGCATTTCCTGCAGAGTAACATGTGTCTACCTGGCTGAGAGCCCATCAGAAAAAGGCTTAAGATCCTAAACTGAGGCTCTGGTTGAAATGTGTTTGAAGTACGGTCAAGTATTAAGAGGCAGCCTTTATAAGAACTGTATACATTGTTTGAAATTGTTAAGAAAAGGTGTCTCAATGCTTTTCTTTCTTAACTCCTCAAGAACTGGATACAGTGTTGGAGGCGGGACTCCCATTCATTTCTATGAAAGTTGATCAGTGGTGCATGAAGACAAAATTAGCTGACTCGAATTTAAAGTGACGCGACTGCTGTCACTGTTAAATTACTATTACTATATATACTGAAAGTACACTATGAATACATTAAAACATCCTTCTTAGAAGGTGCCATTCAGTCTCGAACAGGAATGGAATAAGTATACATTATTATGGTGTCACTCTAGCCAACCCATTCACCATCAAAGTGGTTAATATTCTGCTAACTTCACTTCATTTTCCGCATTGACACATTATGCAAGACACGAATGTTTGTACACAAAGATATTTTTACTCTGCACTGGGCATCTGTTCATTCACCTTTCAACTGGAGTTTTTGGAAGCAAATAGTTCTGGATGCGGCAGGATGACTTAAAAACTAAACATATTTGGAATTAGTCACATAACACTGCCACCAGATGATTTTACTGAATACCTCGAAAGCAATAAATAGCGAAGGACAGGCTTATAGATACCTGAACACACAAGAGCCTGAAACACCTGAGGCAACACTTGACACAAATTGACCGTAACTTGACCACATTGCTCAGATAATTGTCATCATAATTTACACTCTACCTGTTGACAGCCAGGTGTGTGTCAGCATTTGACAGTAAGCAAAAAAATGGATTGACTTGTAACTGCAGACAGTTAAATGACGGGTGTTTTGAAGACTATGTCCATTAGTTGAGGAGGAATGTAAAAGCAAAAAGGAATTACATGTTATACTGTGTGTTTGTATGTGGGTTTGTGTTTCTCCCTGTGTGTGTGTGCGTGCGTGCGTGCGTGCGTGCGTGCGTGCGTGCGTGTGTGTGTGTGTTTCTCTTTACTAATAACTTCGTATTTACAAGGATGAGTTCTCCGTCCTCCAGGTGTGAGATGCTACAGGGTTCACACCCTAACCTAGTTTGACCTTTGATGACCCAGAAGGTCCAGAGACATTAGTCACTTCGCTAATGACCTTCACAGACAGAGTGAGGTTTGATTGTAATACTGCAAAAAGAACATTGTCTTTACTTAGTTCTCACTATTTTAAATCTTTGTTCTTAATACACCATTGAGACTTTACCAAATAAACTATAATTAAGTTTCCTGCAGGCACTTTTTTAAATCTTTGATACGAAGCCAGATTGAAATTAATTCTTTAAAGGCTTTCGGGACATAACATCGATACTTTTCAGATTTCTCTCTCAGTTTCTTCGCCGACAGCACGTGGAGGCAACATGGTGGAGTCTTTGTCAAATCACCTGCTTGCTTTCACAGTGGATCGATGATGTAATCCTAAATAAAACAGATGGATGCTGACTTGCAAAAACTTAGACATTAAGTGAGAAAAACAACAGATGTAATGAAGTTCAGATGAAGAATGTTTTTTAATGACTTTTTTCTTTTTGCTGAGTGCCGGTTGATAACTGTACATTTTATGGACGGTAAATCAGCAAATTAGGTGTCACTGACTAAACAACCTAATCTCAAGGTCCCTTAAGAAGCTGATCTGGACCTTACTAAAATACACAATGATAAACTTGTTTCCGAGGCCTTAAACACTTTGAAGCTCTACTTTTAAAGTAGTATTAAGTCGTTTTTTCAATGGTCTTCTTTGGGAAATACACTAAAACGCTTTCTTGCCAAGTGTTAACCTTCGCTAGTTCGCTAACAACCCAACAGTGATGGAAATACTCCAGGAATTCACTGCCTCCGGCCAACAAACAGTCTGGAACATTAACCTTTTGATGAAGTTATTTTCACTGTTGCTTTGAGAACGGATTAACAGAATCAATATATTCAGAATCACAATCTGGTTTATTGCCAAGGGTTTTCACTACCCAGATTTGGCAAGGTAAATTGGTGCATTACATAATTTTGTGCATAAATGTGGAAAGGTTCACAGTAAAAATGAGATTCAACATGTCTATAGGTGGACTTAACAGTGCCAGAAAGAAGATTGTGTTACCTTTGGAAAGGTCATGCTTTCGATCTGTCTTTGTGCAATGTTGCTCAACAATTGGATTGACTGTACTTACATGAAAGAACATCTACAATTTATAAACACCATCTGCCTGCATAGTTTGATTGACAGCTCCAGAAAGGCTTCCAAACGGACATTAAGGTGAAAGTATTTGACTGTTTTGTTGTTTTTGTAACAATCCCAAACATTTCTGTTTCGTTGTCTTTGGTGCCACCTATTGCAATACGCAGCAACTGAATGTGTGTTTTTGGTTCTTACATTAACTTTAAGCATCCTCTTCTGTAGTGATTGCTTTTTTATTTGTTTGTTCGGCTAAAGTAATTGTTTACTTAATGCCAGCAGACGTACGTTGTTGAACACACAAGTGTTTGCAATATGCAACCTCACCACTAGATGTCACTCAATCATACACACTACTCCTTTAAATGTTTCGAAATGGTTACTTTAATTATAATATAAACTATAATGTATATTTCGAAGTTGTACTATATTTAGAATACATTGACTAATTTGAACTGACCTGATGCATTAGGTCTAATTTAACTGCTCACATGAGGTTCAACAGACAGTACATATGGCTTAAGTTAGTGGCATTGTAAGGGACTACTTTGAAGTTTTGTATACTTTTTATGGTCTCAATGTCTGGCATTAAAGGATGAAATACTTAAGTCCTCCCTAAAACCTGCCTTCTCAAATACATTAACACAAACTTGAACTCATCCTGATAACCATCAGTGACACCAGGCTCTAAAAGCCCCTAAAGAGCAAAGTCCTCCTCGTGTTTCCAGTAAAGCTTGGGGGTCTGCTAGACTCCCTGAGTTCAGCACAGCTCACTTTAATTTGCCTCAGTCTGCTCCCCATTACCCAACTGTACAGGTGAAATCTCCTGCATGCATTGCTGCTGTATGAGAGCACACTGATGCGGCAGGTATGGCAGAACAAGTCTAGACATATAGACCGATACCTTTCGACTGTTTCGCAAATGTGCAGAGGGCTCAAAGAGCCCGGAAATATTCAGTTCAATAAGCTTCATGTCTGCATGACCTGGCATGACAAAAGCATCTGTCAAAAAAGCCCATTTACTAGAAGTTAGGTGGAAAATTACTTTTTCTGCGGGGGAGAGGGAGGAGCTCATCCATCATTGACAATCAAATTCAAACAACAAATCAAATCAAATCACATTATGCGAATGGCTGATATTTAGTGTTTCCTAGAAAGGATTACAAATGATGTTAAGGATGACATTGAATCTTTGATCAGCTCATCAGGGCCTGGAGGGCAGGTGATGACAACTGATGTCACACAAGACAGAGAAAGACGTGAGGAAAGAGTAAGAATTACTCATACAACCTGAAAATGTTATAAGGGTGGTAATATATATTTTGTTAAGTGTAAAAGTCTATTACACAGTTTAGTGGTAAGAAACCAGTGACTTGTATTGTATTTTTCTCTTTGCTGTTATTACTGCTTTCATCACTTTTCTTTACGTGTTCCATGTTTAACTGCATCAAGAGAAGACTGCGAGTAAAATAACAATTGATATTGATTGTGAGAGCTCGCGACCCATCGGCTCAGTCTCTGCTGGTTCGAGTCCGGCCTGCGGTCCCTTTACGCGTGTATTCAAATCCCCTTTTAACCCAGTCAGTCCCCAAAAACTGTAGGCAAGTTTATTTTTTGAAAACGTCCTTAATATGTTTAGCCTACCTGCACTTGAGGTGTGAAACACGGAGACGAGCATCAACAGCAGCCATGTCTCTCGCACTGGACTCCATCGATCCATCATTTTGCATTTGAAGCTATCGATGCGTCGCTAGTAATTCCCTCGTGGCTCCCTTTCGTCACCTGAAGTCAAGAGAAGATGTTGGCTCTGCACGCGAGAGTCTAGGAACTGCTGCCTCGCTCACCTCACCGGCTGCTAATTAAGAGCGCGCACGAAAAAGGGCTGATGTCATTGATGGGAAATTATATTTAGCAGCAAATACTATCCTGTATTCACGGTGTTTCTTCAGGGTGGACGGATAAAGAAGGGAGAGCAGCGGGGGGGATATCACTTAATCTCGGACGGTTTTTCCCTCTTCAACCCGCTGACAACTTTCCTCACTTTCTCTCCTCTCCTCCCCCCTCCCCCCTCTCTCCTCCGGGGTGACCCCTCCCTCCCAGTAGACTGAGGAGAAGTACTCTTAACTTAAGTAATAGTAATACCACAGTGTAGAAATACTCTGTTCCAAGGAAAAGCCCTGAGTGCAAAAGTATTTGCATCAAAATAAGTAAGTAAGTAACAAAACTAAAAGTACTCATGAAGAACACGAGTAAGTAACAAGTAGGTGCCTCGAACTTGTAATGGAGTACAATTGAGAAGTAGAAGTTAAGTAAAATATTCTCGAAAGAGCTGGAGTAAAAGTACTTAGTTACTTTCCACAAATAAGCTGTGCAGAAAACATGACTGTGCATGGCATTATTTGCATCATCTGAGTGATGATGTCTCTCTCTAGTTATCTCTCGTGCACACATTAGCATGATGCTTCCGACAAACACACGTTCAATAGGCTTCATGACATTTGTGATACATTACAATACATGTTAATAAGCTAATGCCGTTTATCCAAAGCATCTTCCATACACTTAAGAGTCCGGCACATGCTTGTTGGAGAAATGAAGGTATCTTGCCCAAGATCAATCTGCAAATGTGGGATCTAATCATTACATTACTTGTTACTTGTTAGACGCTTTTATCCAAAGCGACTTACATACTCAATACTGTGGACAATCACCCCAGGAGCAATTTGGGGTGAAGTGTCTTGCCCATGCAGGGACACAACGACATGCTGACTGCAGTGGGGTTTGAACCTGTGACCCCCCCCGATCCGAACACCAGCGCACTATCCCACTGTGTCACACGCCTCACTGATCCTTTAATAAATATACCTTTATTCCCCCCTGAGCCACACAAGCTTCAATGTTTAAATAAAAACCTGCTTACAAAGCTTCTCTCAACAGGACTAAGTATGAAATATCCAATATGAACAATACAAGATTGTGCCACTTTATAAGCAATGATCTCTCTCTACACAGACACACACACACACAGACACACACACACACACACACACACACACACACACCCACACACACACACACACACACACACACACACACACACACACACCACACACACACACACACACACACACAGCATGCTAGGACAGGACACCGTTGCTGCCCAACTAATAAAAATATGCTGCAGCAGATTCTAAATTCCAGTGCCTGTCTGTCTTTGCCCACACCACACTCTGTTCACACACACATATTCTTCCTATAGGCACAATAATAATAATAATACAAGAAAAGTAAAAGGTTGCTTCCTGCCTTCTACTTCAAGGGTTTGTGATTCTCTATCTGTGGTGTGGAAGAGTCCAAAGTAACGAGCAGCTCATTGGGGGGGGGTGTCAGAAAGTTTATAGGAGTTTATAGGGAGCAGTTATAAGGTGAAAGAAGGGAGGTGGGATCAGAGCGCAGTGCATGCACACACATGCATACGTGCACATGAATACCTATATGGGCCTCAAGTCTGTCCTGTCCTGCTTCTGCTCCCATTTTCATTAGTGTGCATTGTCTAAGGAGACATGTGATACTTAGATAATATGTAGGCGACAATATGACTTAAAAATATGTGCAGGTGAGTCAGGATAGACAAAAACAAAACAAAAATAAGTTTAAAAGTAGAAATGTGTCAGAAATAGTGTTATCATTAAACCTTTTTTGCACACTTTTAGTCGGAAAATATAACTTACACTTGCACGTTAAGAAGACGGCTGGCTTTAAAGTGTATTTTGTTGTTAGGATAATGAAGGAATAACTACTTCTTGGTGCAATTTGGTGTCATTTTGCAGGAGCATTGTGTAAAAAGCAATGTATATATTGCATATTGTGCAGGTGAGAGCTAAATGAACCCGAAATGCTTTGCAGCCTTATACCAATAAACATATTGTATTGTGTTTTTGTGAATGTACTGGATGTATTTGAAGACATTTGGGATATATAAGAGATAGGATAAGATACACAGTAAAATCCGGAGTGTTAATTTAACACTCTGAGAAAAGGACCATATGTTCACTGGCAGTGTTAAAATTGACTCTTTAAGTGTTAAATTAAATTAACACTTAAAGGGAGGGATTTAAGTGTTAAATTAACCCTCAAGTGTTAAATGAACACTTAAAGAGTCCATTTTAACACTGCCAGTGAACATATGGTCCTTATCTCAGAGTGTTAAATTAACACTCCGGATTTTACTGTGTAGTACTTTATTGATCCCAATTCTATTATTCTACAGGTGTAAGCATTTATATCATATGCTTGAAAATAAATATGCTGTAAATAAAGTGTACAATTATAACAATAGGTTCATGTTTGGTAACAGTGCTGGTTTGGTAACAGAAGTAGATTGCATGCAGAGACACACACACACACACACACACACACACACACACACACACACACCTTTTCTAAGAAAAAGGAGAAGAAATGGATTCCAGGCATATTTTCAAATGTCCTTCCTCTCGCTTCAAGTAGGTTGTCTTAAAGGTATGACTGTCAGCGATGCTTTAATGTTCAAGTGTTTGCGTGGGTGGGCAAAAGAGAGGGAGAGACATTTTTGCATGGTTTTACTGATCATAATTATTACTTCTCTGACACTCTGATAAAAGGAGTCTCCAGGCATCATCACATATACTGGAGCCAGATGTGTGTTGCCTTTGATGAATAGGACATGTCATTCCATTCATAGAGTGAGGGTGGATTGATTTAAACAATAACCATGTTAACCACTGGGCGGCGCTGAGTGTACAGACATGTGACTATAGTATAAAGTGGTGAACTTATTCACCACATTCCTGGTCAGAAAAGATTGTCAGATGGTTTGTTTATTTTAGAATAAGCCATGTGTACAGCACCGTCATGGAATAAAACAAAGTAGTCAATACTCCCACAGGGGGATTAACCGGGGCAGCCAGCCTCAGATAATCTCACTGTTGTAACGCTGTGTCCATGTGACTCTCTCTCTCTGACTCTTATCCTCTTACAGCGGCTCTCACCTCAAATCGCAGCTCATCCTGCAGAGCCGCTGCAGACAGAGTGACAGCAGAGTGGAGAGGCAGCAGAAACATGGCGACTCCCGGGCAGAAAGTGGTGCTGATCACCGGCTGCTCCTCCGGCATCGGCCTCAGGATGGCCGTGATGCTGGCCAAGGATGAACAGAAGCGCTATCACGGTGGGTGACCTGTGTGTGTGTGTGTGTGTGTGTGTGTGTGTGTGTGTGTGTGTGTGTGTGTGTGTGTGTGTGTGTGTGTGTGTGTGTGTGTGTGTGTGGTGTGTGTGTGTGTGTGTGAGAGAGAGTGAGAGACATATTGTTTATTGTATTTGATTGACGTTACGCATCAGTTATGTTCAGCTTCTTTCCTTGATTTTTAAATACATATAATTGTTAACAGGGTTGTTTATTTACTGTTTTACTAGCTCGTACAATATGCTTTGGCAATACTGTGTTTTCCCATGGACATGCCAATAAAGCTTATTTGAATTTGAGAGAGAAATATATTATTTTATTCTGGATTTTTAAAAAGCACACTGGTTTCTTACGCTTAATGCTGCTTTTGTTCAAACGGTATACACAACGGTACACTCCACATGTTTATGTATAGATTTTGTCCCACAGACATTAATTATACAATTCTGTGGCAATACTGTATATCAAATTGAATTTAAGAGAGAGATTTGTTCATTTATTTTACTATTTGTAGCTTGTAATATGGCTACATTTATACTGCCAAAGCATATTGACAACTTATATACGTGTAAATAGTTATAACTTTGAATTGTAATTGTTACATGATTTGTTAAACCCTTTATACGTGTGCTGTTACTACCAGTCCTCAACTAGAACTGTGTACAGTAGAGTATTATAGCTCCACATGATTATGTAGATTAAAGCCACTGTGTCTGTGCATCTGGATTCCCAGCAAGCAGGGATTCCCTCTAAAGCTGACTGAGAGGCTGTTTGCAGTGTTTTTGATTATTTGAAATCTGAACCACATGAGGGTAAATGAGGATCCCATTAAGACGTAATAACTGAGAATCAATAACACAACTGTTTCATGAAAGGAAATAAACCGAGAAATTGAGCAAATTTGAGGATGTGTTTTCAAACTGAAGAGGAAACTGCAGCTTCCAGTATTTCCTCTCCTCACAAGGGGGTCAGAGGTCACAGTTCACAGTCACAGATGATTTACGGACCTGATGGTAGAGGCCAAATACTTGTGAATTACTTGGGCTGCCAAACAAATCTATCATGATGAGTCTTTTTTAGCTAAGAGGCCCTATGCGCTCGTTTTAGGTTTGTATTAGTATTTTGTGTCTCTACTGTCTCCATGCTTTAATGCTTTTATTTCTCATAAATTGTATTCCTCATTATTTTCATAATGTCATTAAATAATAAAGATTGTAACAAGAGGCAGGAGCTATATTGGGGCATTTGTTTTTTAAATTGAGATGCATTGTTTTATTCTGGGAAACTTTTTTTGATCATTTTTTACCAATTGCTGGCTGTTTTTTATTTTTCAGGCCATTGCTAAAAACTAAACATAATCTACATTTTATATCATAACTAGCCCTTACACAGAAGGTGTTTTGAAAACAAATACAAATGTTTAGTTTAGAGTTTTAGTTTATTTCGCTCAACTGACCCAACTCAAATTCATATATTAAAATAGTAATAGTCAGTACTTTAGAATCAATCTTATAGTGACCAAAAAGTCTGAAACCCTATCTTTTAACATAATTATTATAATACTAAAATATCACCATGCAACAATTTCTGCATAGTCCCCTATAAAAGGTATGCATCATTTGTATTTCAATGTTCACTCAGCTTACCTCCTGTCGCACACATAGTACTGTCTCTGAACTCAACACAACCTAACCTTAAGACACTCTTAGGATTCTGGTAACACCAGACAATAACTAAAGCCCCACTATAGCCGTGCTTAGGCTAATTATGGCTCTGACTGTGCTATTAATGGAGGAGGCAGGTGATGTGTGCACCACGACAAGACACTAATGCTCATATGAACTATATATAAGGAGCACAGGGGTCTATATTAAGGCTTCTTAAGGTTATCTTTGCTACCTTACCTAACTAAGCTTTTTCCATTGTTGTGATATTTCATTTAATCAGAATGTGAAAAAACACAGGTTTAGCCAGGAAAGGGATGTTTTGTGTGTGTGTGTGTGTGTGTGTGTGTGTGTGTGTGTGTGTGTGTGTGTGTGTGTGTGGCCTAGCATTACTATACTTGTGTGGACCTAAATCTGTTTACACAGTCACGTGTGGGGACTCGCCTCCCTCATGGGGACATAATGGAGGTCCCCATGAGGGGAATCATTAATTTTAGGGTGAAGACTTGGTTAGGTTTAGGGTTAGGTTAAGGGTTAGGCATGTGTTGGTTATGGTTAAGGTTAGGTTAAGTCTCCAGGAAATGCATGTAAGTCAATGTATGTCCCCTGAAGTGATGTATACATGGTATGTGTGTGTGTGTGTGTGTGTGTGTGTGTGTGTGTGTGTGTGTGTGTGTGTGTGTGTGTGTGTGTGTGTGTGGTACTTTACCCTCCATTTGCACCATCTCATGTCTCTGACCGTATTTATCAGAGTTCTTCATGACCTTTACTCCCTTCTTTCCGTTCACTCCTATGACAGGAAACATACACAAAGACAGGATCAGTCAGGGAAGATATTCTCTTCTAAAAACATACATGTATGCACACACACTCAGACAGAACATGTATTAGTGCTGCACCAGAGCCCAAAAGAACATGTTTTATTTAACAACTTGTAAAACACACACATATGGAAACACTGGAGTCTGGCTAACGAAACACAATGTTTGTATTTATGTGTGTTTTGCGTGAGCCTACATGAAGCCTAAGCCAGTAAACTCAGTTCAACTCTCAGGATAGTAAAATTGTCTTGTTTGTTACCGCATTTACCTGGGCAGGTTGCCTAATCACATTACAACAGCAGCCTAAAGGCATAGTGCGCTGGAAGCTGCCCATAGAAATGAAAATAGTTTAATTATACGCAGAGTTATTGGCAAACAGAAATGTTGGAAATAATAATGCCTGCACACAGGTCAACATGGCAAGACGAAGATCCAATTAGGATTCAGATATTTAAATCAGTGTGGAGGTGCTACTCTCTTCATAAGAGCGGCAAAAACCACAAGCTGTGGCAAAGCAAAAAAACAATAACTTGTGAGCGTGTGTCTTTTATCGTAAACATATCTATTATCCTTCACGTTTTCTCGGGATCGTACAGTTACAGTAACACACGTTTCCTGTTTCACAAATATTGCTCCATATGGGATTTGAATAACGCACAAGTATTGCTTTTTCAACTAAATTATGAATGATTATGTTGACATGGACTGGCCCCGCCTCCCTTAGGGGAATTCATCCACAGAAAACACACTGGACGCTGCACTAGGTCAGAAACCAGAGGAGACTGTGAAGTCCACCGCAGACGGACCACTTTAGGACAAAATGTCCTCTCCATTAAAGGCAGCTCATTCTGGAATAGCCTCCCAACTGAGATACGGGATTGTCCCACTCTCAATAGTTTCAAATGTCAACTCAGAGAATGGTTGAGAAACAAATCGATGTGCAATCACCGCTAAATGCACTTTAATACAGGGGTATCTCCTCTTGCACTTTAGGTAGCTCTTTTATCTTCTCTGCTGCTATATTGTACTGCTAGTGGTTAATGCTTGTATGCTGCTCATGCTTTCTGCATATCATGTATTTATGTTTGCGATGTTTATAAATGTCATGTTCTTAAATGTTGTATGTGAGGGACTACGGATGGAAATGAGCTGAAATCTGGTGTATTTACATTTGAAGCGTTGTTTGTTTAAAGTGTTCATCAATGTGCATTGTCCCTTTTCAAATAAACGATTAAATGAAATGAAAAATGATTAAGATCTACAAAGGATCATAACATGTGTTTAGAAATACAAAACACACAAAGGCATGTGTATTCTGAGGAAAGCACATGGGTGCAAAAAAACAATGCAATAAAAAAGTGAAATACAAAACAAAAACAGATGTTATCTTAGTTTATAAAAAGAAGTCTACAAATAATACTAAGTAACCAATGTACTGTACTGTACATACCAGATTAAGATAGTAATGTTAAAATAAAACTGTTGTATACACCACAAAAAACGACTGAACAAATACATAGTGAAAAGTGAGTTTAGATCCTAGTGAAACAGACTATGGTCCTCTATTCACCTTATTACAACCATTTACATGGCTGGTTATTACATTCAGGCATTTTCTAAAACCCAAAACATTCCTTAACAATATTTTCTACATTCAACTTTCTGTCTTTCCTTCTTTTCCGCCTATTCACAGTCATAGCAACGATGCGTGATCTGAAACGTAAAGATAAGCTGGTGGAAGCTGCCGGGGACGCGTACGGGAAAACTCTTTCTCTAGCCGTCCTGGACGTCTGCACCGATGAGTCCGTCAAACAGTGTATTAACGGCATCAAAGACAGACACGTGGATGTCCTCAGTGAGTAAATGCACCGTGGATTCCTACCCTCATTCCTAAGTGATGTTCCCACTTAACTTCTTTGTTTTATTCTCCTTTTCCTCACCAGTCAATAATGCCGGTATCGGCCTCGTGGGTCCGATAGAGAGCATCCCCATCGATGAGATGAAGAAAGTGTTTGAGACCAACTTCTTTGGGGTGATCCGCATGATCAAGGAGGTGATGCCTGACATGAAGAGAAGGAAAGGAGGACACATCATCGTGGTCAGCAGTGTGATGGGGCTGCAAGGTAAGCAGACAGGATGAATGATGAAGACGAGGAGGGGTGAGAAGTTTCATGGTACAGGGAGACATGACAGTAAGTCTGATGCATGCATGTGTTGGTGACGGACAAATGGAAGAGTGGGTGGATGGTTGAAGAACGGCTAATGAAGTACAGATGGATGTCTTTACATTACAGTGAACAAGAAGAACAGATATATTTACCTGGTCATGTTGTCTGTCGTTAAATATTCTGTTTTCTACAGGTGTGGTGTTCAATGACGTGTATGCAGCTTCCAAGTTTGCGATGGAGGGCTTCTGTGAATGTTTGGCTGTGCAGCTTCTGAAGTTTAAAGTCACGTGAGTTCCACTATAGCTATTTCCTTAATTAGAAAACAAACTGAAGATTGTCCTGATAATAATCTATATTAAAGAAACTCCTGAAAGATTGTTTAGTTTGGCATTAAAGTTAGTAAGAGTCGCCGTTCGTTCAGTGAGTTTTGCAAAGTGTTTCTAAGAGATGAATTCTATACACAACCAAAATAGATACGAACAATCTGACATTAAAGGGGACCTATCATGCAAAATGCACTTTTTGTGTGTCAGGGAACTCACGCAGCGTCAGAAAATAAAACCCTCTCTCTTTTCCTCCGTACCCAAATCTCTAAAAACGGGGGAACAACGGAGCTGATCCAGATTTGCGTCCGATATGACGTAATATCTGAAATGTGGACCCACGGCCCAATCAGAAACGTTGCTATCAGAAACAATGACCGACTGTTTTGGACGTAATATGGTCGGTGTTTACATTAGCATCGCTAACACTCAGAGCTAACCTGTACTGGAGAGCATGTGTGTGAAGAAGCAGGAAATAAAAAGGAACTCACCTTGTGGTATAACCGGCAAGAGAGAAAGCCTTTGAGCGCCAAACTGTTTCAGAAATAATCCTTGATAATCCATGATATGGCGTTTCATCACCGCAGCATTTAATTTAGACAGTAGCTGCCGGGTCCCGCATGACCTCAGACCCCTCCTTTTTTATTTTGCATCAAATTATTATTTTATTTTTTAAAGCTTTATTCCCAAAATCAGCACTTTTGAAACAGGAAGTGAAATAGAGGGATATGAGGCATGGCTAGAACGGGTGATCTGTTTGGTATTTTGAGCAAAACACTTCATAGACATGTTTTTTATATTTTTTTATATATCTGAGACCTATGCTATTGCCTACAAATAGCATGATAGGTGCAATTTAAATAAAAAACTCTAATGATGCGTTTCATTATTGTTATTCATTGATTATCTTCTGATATATTGTTAAGATAGTTGCAGTCTGAGAGTATGAGAATCATTTATGTATCTATAGATTACTGACAGTTAAATGCAAGGTTCTCACAGTCTAAACATTGTCAATTTGTTTAAATTTAAACAGATTATACCCACATTTTAAAGGCATTCATGAAGCACTAGTGTTACCCATTTGCCCATAGAGCTCTTAATCTACGCTAGCCCCAGTCTTTGTATGTTATCATCCCCTCTTTGTTGTGTGTCTATCTCCTCAGAATGTCAATGATTGAGCCGGGCCCGGTGCACACAGAATTTGAGGCAAAAATGATTCAGGATGTGCAGCAGAAGGAGTTTCCCGGAGCAGATGCTGACACGGTGAATTACTTCAAGAACGTTTATCTTCCTTCATCTGTGGACATCTTCGAGACACTGGGACAAACGCCTGACGACATCGCCAGAGTAAGTCCCAGTAAGCAGTCTTTGTCTGCATCTGTGATTAATCCTGTAAATCTGACGGCAAATCTTTATTTTTTCCATCCTCTTAATATCTGCAGTGTGTCAAGAAAGTGATAGAAGCAAGCAGCCCACGTTTCCGTAATCTGACCAACCCTTTGTACACGCCCATCGTAGCGTTGAAATACGCCGATGAAACAGGAGGCCTGTCTGTCCATGCCTTCTACCACATGCTCTTCAACCTGGGTCCACTGATGCACGTCAGCATGACCGCCATGAAGTACCTCACCTGTGGATGTCTGAGGAGCAGGACCATTTCACCAAACTAGAAATGTATTATGGGAACAATAGAACACAGTAAAGACCACAACTTACCGTGGCACGTGTTATCAGTGTAAAAAACAATACATACATAAAACGTTTATCTTATTTGACCTGCCATATTTGACTCTGCATAAATGTAGTCTGTTTTGTTATGAAGTCTTGTTCATTCTCTCTTTTTTGTATAAGATTGTAGCTTATGTACGTATAGATGCCACACCTGAGTTCAATTAGGTTGAAATACTTCAACATCTAAAATGGTTTTAGCCCAGGGGTGTCCAAACTACGGCCCGTGGACCATTTTGAATCGGCCCTCAGCAAATAAAAAAAGTATAATGGAATATGGCCCACAAATGAAACTTGTGCTTGTCTTATATTATAATTCTTAAATATAAATGTTAAAATATATTACAACTTTTAATTAAACCACTTTTCAAATAAATTCAGTCAATTAAAGTTGGAAACATTTTCTAACATATCTTAGTTGATAAGAAAAAAGCCCAATGACTTATTTACATAACAAGCTTGAAATACGCCTACATTTGATTAATTTGCAAATGTACAACTGAACTTATGAGGCAATATACTTCTAGTGAGCGGCCCAACCCTTCGTATATTTTTCTGTATGTGGCCCTCGGTGAAAACAGTTTGGACACCCCTGTTTAAGCCAAACCGGAGTGCCAAATTAGTAGATCAAACATAACATACTGTATAGCCTAGTTTCATTATTTTACCTCAACCAGCCCCAAAGGAACTCACATTGCAGACTGTTTTAATTGGTTCAAAAATAATTGGTCTACACACCTTATTAATTGGTAATTAATTTGTACTATATGTGTTTGCATGGATGTATATATATATATAATTCGAAATTCTGTGAATATTTTTGAGCTACTATTTTGGCATAAAAATATGCAAGAAAATGAATGGACCTACACATGATGACAACATCTACATTCATCTTGACAACTTTACCAATTATTTATCAATGTGATGTTTAGATACCACAGAGAAGACTTGTCCCCTTTTTCTAAATAAAAAGTTGATATTTATACTGCGTCTCCTCTTCCTTAAAGAGTTCAAACGAAATCCTAAATGAAGATATCTGTATAATCTGTATAAGACTATTAGTGTGATTAAAAATGGTGACTTCAAGAAAGTTGTAACTTGATGACCTTCTCATTAAAATGTCTTGTTCGAAAGACCATACAGTTGTTTCTGCATTTTAGCCCATTTGCTATGCTTAACAGCCTGACATTACTGCTTTTGTTCAAACATATGATGTAGGCACAATATAAGTATGTATACCTTTGAGGTGGCCATTTGTGATCTTATATTGTGCTTTGAAAATGGTTGGTGCTTGTGTAAGGTAAATACAATCTCGTAAAAGTTAAATCTAGTTATCTCTGGGTAGAAAAAGGTAGCTTGTTTGGGTGGGAGTTTCTTCTAAATTAGCTTGAAAAGGTTAAGAGTAAAATATTATTAATAGCAATTTCCACATGTATGATTTTCTAAACAATGCACGTTTTACATGAAAGTAACATAATAATTAATATTGTTGTGAATATAACTGGACTCTTACTTACTTTTGTTCATTTAATGAGTAAACATTTCCATTGACCTGCTGCTTCCTCTGAGGCGTTTGACTCGTCGGAGCTCAACTGCTCGAGTCTGTTTGAGACAGTCGCGGGAAATTTAAATGTAATCAATCCCCGAATGATCGAACATCAAAATATACTTTCCATGGACGCCGCGGCGTGGCCTCTGTAAGTCTGCCACACAAATTAACCGATACACATTTATGGATACGTTGTCATCCCAACTATCTGGGTGCGTTTGTGAGTAGAAAACATAGCCGTTAAGTCTATGAATTAATATTTTACTTTGCTTTAAGCTAAAAGTATTATGAAAGTAAAGTGTAACGTTCAAACTGCTACCGTTATCTTAGTTAAGCTAACACTAACTAACACACATTACAAGATATTAGATCTGCCCTAGATGTATTTAACCTTAAGTCATGTGTGTTCGTGGTGTGTGTTGTGTGTGTGTGTGTGTGTGTGTGCGTGTGATTAAGGCCGAGTGAGCAGAAGGCAGAGCCGTGTGGAGATAACATGCCTTTTGATGAGCAGCTAAGGACCACACTGCACTGTGATGATAAGGAAAAGGTACTGTATATATTAGTCTGTAACTTATACAATGAAGCTTTAATTCAATTTGTTTTTTAAGTAGAACATGTACAACAATATAAAGAAATAGATAGATCAATGTGTGATCAGTGATGTTCAGTAGTTGTTGTTTTGTTTCTTTTTTAAATGCCTCAGTTCATGTATTGTACACAGTACAGTACATAAAACACCAATAATGGATGTGTCTTCTTATAGTTACTTTTATGGAAAAATAAAGCACCAAAATTAAATATGAAAAATTATGTGTAGGTTTATTTTCCTCCACTCCAGATTTCTACTGTAATATCATTTCAAGTACAATGGGAGAGGGAAAATATGTAATACTTATCAATCATACTTCAGCTATTAAAACAGAGGAAAACTATTATTGTCAATTTTGAAGATTAGTTGTCCTGAAGGATGTATATCAATACAAATGTTGAAGTGAACCTATTTCTTTTTTTAGGTTAAGGTTAGCCTAAGTAATTCCTTTAGTTTAGGCAGACAAAAGCTATAACAAGCTGCTACTGACAAATATTGAACATTTTCCCACTCAGCTTCGTAGGAAGTTGGCACTGTTACAAAGGGAGTACCTCAAGACAACTCAGAGACTACAGGTAAGAGAGTTTTTAACTGTTCTCCTATAAGCTCTGTCTAGAAATGATCTTTCTCACACTCATATTGTATCTGCTCACAGCGTGCTGAGCGTGTTGACGCAGTGCGCAAACACGTGAGGAGCAGAATCAGTCAGCAGAACCAGGAAGACACAGATGTGACCTCTAACCCCCGTCTCAGCCCCTCTCCATTGATACTGAACGCCACCAATGGGGCCGCCACAAGTGAAGCTCAGTGCGAGGGACACACTGGAGGTGAGTCCGTCTCACCGTGCATAACTACAGTAACAATTAGATAGGAGTGTATGATGGAACTTATTTAACAGTGATACAGGGAATACATTTGTTTACTAAAAGGGTTGCTGTAACCATGCAAAAAAACATATATAACAGATATATAAAAAGTCATCCAATATTGATGCAAAGGCTCTGGTCAGAGACGGTATTTTTTTATTTATACTTTATCCTAGTTATCCCATTTTGTTCTGCAAATTAGCGCACTCAAAGACTGCAGTGATAACATTCAAGCTATTGTTTTTGTTAGTGTGTCTGTAGGCTGCTTAGAAATATCTAGGGAGATTGTGCTAGGACACGAGGGAGATAAGTGTTGAAGGTAAGAGGGCAAAATAATCTGTAACAGAGGCTAATTTAGTCACTTAAGCACCAATATATTTGTTATTGGTACATATATTTATCAGTATCATAAATCCTTTATTTGTTCGGCAACGGGAAAATGTACATGATCACAACAGCAGAACAATATGCTAAGTATGCACCTGGATATGTTCATGTCTGTCAATTCTTTTTACGTCCTATGCATTTTGCCACACAGATTGCTTCCTTTCCTGTCCATCCGTCATCACTCTGAGCATCAACCAATGTTTTGTCTGTAATAACAGTAGCACATTTTCAATTGTTTTCCCAGGTCCGGTGGATTCTGATAACTCCAGGAGGAGCCAGGTGATCAGGTTCCTGCTCCCTTCTGAAGATCCTTGCACTGAAACCCTGACTCCCAGCCATGACACACCCGGAGGTCACAGGTCGAGCCCCGCTCTGCGCCTCAGGTCTCGACGCAGCCGCCTGCGTTGGGAGAGGAGGAGCGCCGAGGCTGGCAGGAGCACGGACGACAACAGTGAGGAAGGACAGGAGCAGAGTGAGAGGATGGCGGTTGGGAGTGAAGGGGGAGACAAAACGCGGGGAACAGAGGTTGTGAATGAAGGTGAAGAGCTATGTTCTGGTACTGAGTCTGAGTCTCCATCTCTGCTGCTGACACACTGGAACACGACGCAAAATGAAACGGGAGATATCGAGGGAAACCAAATACAAGGACAACCAGAACAAAGGGGGAAAGAGACCGAGTTAAGATCCGAAGGGAAAAAAGAATCAACTTCTTTGGTGCCTTCACCTGCAGGCAGGGAACTAAACGGCGCAGAGCAGAGGAATAAAAGGCTTTGTGAAAACAGCAGCGATAAAGACAATGAACAAAATTCAGCAGAGAAAACAGAAACGGAAAAAAGTCTTGAAAATACAGCTGAATTCAAAAAAGAAAAAAGTGAGATGGTTGGATCGGGGCATGATGTAAAGGCTGTGAGTCTCCTTGACTCCTGTACCCTCGTGGAAGGACTACTTTTCCCCGCAGAGTACTATGTCCGAACCACAAGGCGTATGAGCCAATCACAGAGCCAGCCGAACATGCAAGCTATCATTCTCTCCCAGCTGAGCGGCGGGCGACGTTGCCGGGGCCGCGGCGGCAGGGGATCGAACCGGGACACACCCAACCCTGAACGTTCAGATCAACACACTGCATCTGTAGCTCCTTGTCTGGACTCACAGCCTGCTGAGCCGAACACTCAGAGCTCCAGCGAGATTTCTCCTATTGTCACCTCTGCTCGGCCAGCAAGAGGGAGGAGGAAGAAGAGAGGAAGGGGAAGAGGGAGACCTCAAACCCCACGGTGCTCTCTCAGTTTAGACTCCAATCAGCTAGACCTTGCACAAAAGACCTCAGACGATCCCCCAGCAACAAGCTCCCCGGTGGATTCCTCCCCGTCTCTTCATCAAGCTGATGGATGGAAACCCTCTATCTCTCCGGTGCAGGACGTCCCACAGCCTGCGTCCACAAACAGCACAGATACACCGCCTTCCTCTGGGGTCATGGTTGATCCGTCCAGCTCTGCATCTGGACCTCTGGGGAAGGTCTTTCCCATCTTTCGTACGAGCGGCGAAAGGAGCAACAGATCCACTCAGAGCAGTAGAGGTAAGGATTGTATTCGGACTCTGTATGTTTGGGCTGCCTTCTCTTAGTTGTGATCTGTTTGTCTCTTAGCCATGGATTTCTATCGCCGATTTTTCATGTTGAATGACCTCATTTCAATGAAGTAATAGGCACATCTTTGGAAACATCAGATTTATATGTGTGCTTTACAGATCTGACGATTAAATCAGCCAAATGATTAGTTGGCCCCATTTTTGTGGCCGGCTCTGTTGTGATTGGTCAACCGCTTAGAGATGTCCCGCCCCTTAGCCTATCACGTACACTGGTCGGAGCGCTATCCAATAGAAGCGTGAGTGTTTTATTGTGATGTCAATATTTTCCAGAAGTAAAATAAAGGAGGCGTTTCAGGAAGTGTGTGGGAGAGAAACTCCCTCTGAAGGGAACACAGGGATTTGAGCCTTTCTGAAGTGGATTTAAAAGCTGCATCTTTATCTTGAGATTACTTCCTTCCATTAAATGTTCTTTCCCTTTGGTGTGTTGCAGATGCAGCGAGCTGGGCAGTGTCTCCTCCTGCCCTCCTCTCCCCGGCCCAACCTTCTCTGCTTCCTCTCCCCTCTCCGTCTCCTGGCTCGCTGTTCAACTACTTTGACACTATCCAGGATTTCCATCTCCCCGATGACCAGTTTGCTTTTCTTAAGCTGCACAAGCTCCGCCAAGTCTCCGTGGCTTCGGAAGTGGAACCTTTTACCTCGCCGTCTTACAACACGCGCAGAAGCAGCCGCCGTTTTGTTAGCAGTGACTTAGAGAGGCGTCTTCCACTGCCGCTCAGCCTCACAACCCACCATCAGAAAGTCACCCCATACCGCTGCTGCTTCACATTCTGACCTGCAAAATGTGTCAATCAAATACAGCCAGTCCTTCACAGAAGACCCTGAGCAAGTTATTAAAGAAACCCTTGGAGAGCAGCAGACTGAAAACCTCCAGATAGAGTGTCAGAGTTGCACCACCTCAACAGTGTCTGAGCCAGGGGTTCAAGATGGTGCTGGTGACTGCGTTGATCAATATAAAAAGCAAGAGACTATCCTTCTGAATACTCACCACACTGTCGAACCACAGCCTCACATCAGCTTTGCAGACAGACCTGTAGAACAAGTAAATAATGATGACATTGGGTGTTCAGATGAACTTCAAATCAAAGAGTCTTCTCTCCTTTTATATGAACAACAAACAGTTAGTCCGGGTGTCATCCATCCTTTGGAGGAACATATGTCGACACACAACCAAACTGAAGACAAAGATACCATCAAGACTCTTTCCTTCCATTGCTCTCTACAGGAAACCCCCGAGGAGCCTTCTATAAGCCGCGCTGCTGAACAGTTATGTAACGTCAGCGAAGCTCCAGGAGAGTCTCCCGTACAGAATCTGCATGAGAAGTCTCCCACTCAAGACTCAAGGGAATCGCCTAGAGCCGGATCGATGGGAAATCAACACAAGTGTGTACAGCCCCACAGCTCGCAGCTCCTGTTGAGCCCTGCTCTGACCTCAGCACCCTTCATAACCCAGCCCCCGCCCTCCTCTGCTCTCCTCCCCAGCCCCACACTGCCATCACTAGGACTCACCCCCCGCCTCCTGCCCCCCGCCCTCCTCTGCTCTCCTCCCCAGCCCCACACTGCCATCACTAGGACTCACCCCCCGCCTCCTGCCCCCGCCCTCCTCTGCTCGTCCTCCCCAGCCCCACACTGCCATCACTAGGACTCACCCCCCGCCTCCTTCCCCCCGCCCTCCTCTGCTCTCCTCCCCAGCCCCACACTGCCATCACTAGGACTCACCCCCCGCCTCCTGCCCCCCACCCTCCTCTGCTCTCCTCCCCAGCCCCACACTGCCATCACTAGGACTCACCCCCCCGCCTCCTTCCCCCGCCCTCCTCTGCTCTCCTCCCCAGCCCCACACTGCCATCACTAGGACTCACCCCCCGCCTCCTGCCCCCGCCCTCCTCTGCTCTCCTCCCCAGCCCCACACTGCCATCACTAGGACTCACCCCCCGCCTCCTGCCCCCGCCCTCCTCTGCTCTCCTCCCCAGCCCCACACTGCCATCACTAGGACTCACCCCCCCGCCTCCTGCCCCCGCCCTCCTCTGCTCTCCTCCCCAGCCCCACACTGCCATCACTAGGACACACCCCCCCGCCTCCTGCCCCCCGCCCTCCTCTGCTCTCCTCCCCAGCCCCCACACTGCCATCACTAGGACTCACCCCCGCCTCCTTCCCCCGCCCTCCTCTGCTCTCCTCCCCAGCCCCACACTGCCATCACTAGGACTCACCCCCCGCCTCCTGCCCCCCCGCCTCCTGCCCCCGCCCTCCTCTGCTCTCCTCCCCCAGCCCCACCACTGCCATCACTTAGGACTCACCCCCCGCCTCCTTCCCCCGCCCTCCTCTGCTCTCCTCCCCAGCCCCACACTGCCATCACTAGGACTCACCCCCCGCCTCCTGCCCCCGCCCTCCTCTGCTCTCCTCCCCAGCCCCACACTGCCATCACTAGGACTCACCCCCCCGCCTCCTGCCCTCCTCCCCCTCTGCCCCTCCGGCTCTCTCTCCGTGTCCATCCCAGATCCATCAGATCCAGGCTTCATCTGAGCCGCCGTGTACAGACAGCCGGGCCCAGAGGGTTGAAGCTCCTCCCTGCAGGACAGTCTCCGGCATCCTGCCACAGGGCTCAGGAGGGGCGGGCGGAGACAGCAGAGGAACACATGACGAGATGCACACACACGCTAAAGGGTGGGATTCAAGGATTCAAGGCTTTTATTGTCATGTGTGCATAGCTACAGTGTAGTTATGACAATGAAATGTTTAGGTCACAGGCTCCTCCAACAGTGCAACACAAGAAACAGATAAAAAAGTGCAAGTAAAATAAAATAAAATAGAATATAGTGGCAGGTACGACGTTGTATTTAGGTACCGTTAAAGGGGAACATTACAGAAATTAAGAATTCGACCAAAATAAAATCCATGACCTAGGAAAGTCTCATTAATGTTCCTGAACATGAGCTACTCTCTCTCAAGGCCACAATCCAGAATGAAGATGTGATGCTGTGTGATGTTTTTGTTTATGCACAAATAAGCTTTATTCTATCGTCGTTGTGAAATAGAAAATGTACCGACACACTCAGAACGTTCCCCCAGCTGCTCTCAGTGCCCTTTATAATCTGTATGATAAGTCCCATGTCCCGTCTTTGTACTTTATGGCATCATTAGTTGACATTTTACCACTCTTTGATTTTGGGAAGAGTTTAGGCTCTATAGGACCATAGGTTAAAAGTATGAATTTTGAAGATAGTCATATGGCACATTTCCACTGCAGCGGGGTAGCCCCGTTTAACCGTCCTCGCTCAGGCCTCGGGCTGCCTCGCTGGCCGTCCGAGGCCGTGGCGCATTTCCATTACAGTTTAGGACCTGGGGTAGCAACGCAGTGTCGGCGGGGCGATCGGCTTCACATTTCGAGTTGTTCCGTTGAGCTCCCGCTGGATTTTATCATCCCCAATGAGATGTAGGAACGTCGTCACCTCCTCCTCGGTCGACCACGGTGTGCTTTTCTTTGACGTTGCCATTTTTGTAGCTCCTCCGTTTACAAAATGCTGTGTATAAAAATGCTGCAAGCTTGCTTCTAGATATATATGCGACGCTAGGGATGAACTCGCGCGCAATCTTGTGACGATTCTCTCTGACCAATCAGCAGTCGAGAGTGTTGACGTCACTAGTTCAGCCCTGGCCCTGGTCTGATAGAACCACGATTTTATGGGGCCGGAAAAAGAGGGGAAAGGTACCCGCTGGCCGGTGCTACGCTATATGGAAAGGCCACCAAAAACCGGCCTGGCCGCTTGAGGACGATTAAGGACGCTTAAACGGGGGCTACCCGCTGCAGTGGAAATGCGCCAATAGTTCCCCTTTAATTAAAGTTTGTTTTTGCTGCAGCATCCACGTTTGAATCAAAGACGGAAAGTATTTGCTGCAGAAATGGATGTATCTGTGTAACATCTAAAACATGCTGTGTGTGTTTCCAGGCCCCGGCAGGAGGCTGTCTGGTGGATGCTTGCCTTCCTGCGTGGATCCTCCGGTGGTTTGTGTGTCGCCGCAGCAGGAAAGTGGGCCGTGTGTCTCTGGAGTCAGACTGCAGCTTCTGACTGGAGCCTGACTCACACCTGGGCCTTCAATGAGGTCAGTGTGTAGGTGCAAATACATGCCTGCTGAATATCAAAGTTATTAAAACAAGCGCCATACATTCCGTGGCTTTGTCTTCTAAGAGGAGTTGTTTTTATTTCTGGTTTATATCAATGTAAATGAACAATGTTGTGACTTCACAAACACTGCACAAGTGTTTATACATTTAGCAGTCAACCTAAAATAAAATGGGACATGCATCATAATGTTTAAAGACACAAAGTAATTGATGAAATGTACTGTTTCAAGGTCCTATGTGACCCTTTCTTAAATGGCACAATTTATTCTATAACATTTTCCTAACATTATCTTCCGTAATTGTCCGTAGGCATAATGGATTTCTATGTTTTTTTTTACAGCCAGTGATCGATGTGTTTCCGGTCCCGGACGCTGCAGGGCTGATGTGTGTGACTCTGGGTCAGTTAGAAATCAGAGAAGTGAGGTGAATACAACACGCTCAATCCGTCATTTAAAACTGTATTCTAACATTGTTTCAACTCGTTTTCTGTACACGTAACTGACCCTACAGCTAAAGTGAGGATATTTCTTCCATGTTAATCTCCAACTGTGTCTATGTATTTTTGCTTAAAGGTCACCTATTATACAAAATCCACTTGTTCATGTCTCTTTCTACATCAACATGTGTCCCCTCTGTAAAGAAGACTCTGAACGTTTCAGGAAAAAAGATTCTCTCTCTCTTTTGTCCTGATCCATTTCTATAAAAAACCCTGTCTGAAAATGAAGCTGATCAGATTGTGGCCACTTTTGTGATGTCATAACGTTGTTTTGGCTTGAGTAACCATTAGCCAATCACCAACCAAGGTAACCCTCCCCCCCACCTTATCACCTGAATCTCCTCCTAGAGCACCATTGTGTTCTTTGTAACCAAATGTCTCTCAGAGGGGCGTGGGGAGGGGCTCCTTATTTTCATCTAAAGTAACAGAACAGAGAATCAGCACTTTGGATACAGGGCTGAAACAGAGGGGATTATGGGTATGCTGCAAGGATCTGTTTTGGTATTTCAACACTTCAGAGACATGTTTCTGTATATATCTGAGAACTATAATATATTGATGAAAAACAGTAGAATAGGGGACCTATAAGGAACCCAGCTGTTGACGCTTGTTAAAGGTACCTGTGTGTCTCCATGTGCACAGGATGCTGTCGTGCTGCAGCCTCTCCCAGCTGCTGCTCTGTGGCGGCGTTGTTCAGGCGGTTGTGTGTGTGTCCAGGTCCAGAGTGGTAACCTCCTCACACTCAGCGTCTGGCTCCAGCCTGCAGGTGTTCACGCTCTCAGACAGCGGCAGGTAACACTCAGAGTTTGTCAAATGAAATCAAAGTTTATTTGTATAGCCCAATATCACAAAGCGCGTTTGTCTCAGTGGGCTTTACAGATAACAAACATGAATGACAGTGCTAAAGATTAGGAAATGACAAGATAGAATGTAAAATAAAAAGACATGAGATAGAATACAACAGAAATACAATAACAAAATAGGATAAAATACCATAAAATGTCACTCAGGAGAACAAACATCGGATAATCTGAAAGCAGCTTTAACTATACCACTAAAAAGGAAAGTCTTCAGGACTCTTAGATGTTTGGACACTGTCTGCTTTTGTGTTATTTCCTCAGTGTCAGATATATAATTGTTCGTTTCTCTAGAGAGAGCAAAGACAGCGAGAGGAGAGTAGGAGAGGAGCGAAAAGAACGAGTAGACAAGCGAGAGAGAAGAAAAGAAGCTGAGAGACCGAGAGAAAAGAAAGAGAGAACGAGAGAAGACAAAAAGAACGAGCTAGAGCGTAAAGAAAAAGAACGTAGAGGAGAGAAGAAGAGAGAGAGCGAGAGAGAAAGAAAGAAAGAGAGAGAGCTGCTAAAGAAAAGAAGAGAGAGAGAGAGAGTTCTCAGAAAATGAAAGGAGCTTAAAGAAAGCGATAGGAACGAAGAGAGCGCTGAGACAGAGAGCTCTCCCTCTATATATATCGTCTATCGAGAGCTCTTCTCTCTCCTTCCTCTCCTCTCTCTCTCCTCCTCTCTCTCTCCTCATCTCCTCCTCAGCACACCGGACCCTCAGCCTCTGGTGTCTCCTGGTGTTTGTGTCGGGGCCCTCGCTGCAGTGGCTGGACTTCCTAACGCTCTGATTGGCTCTGATGAGAGCGGCCGCCTCTTTGTCTGGTAAGCAATAAACTCAACAAAATTATTCTTCCTGTTGAACAATGGAGCAAAAACATTTGGCATCTTATTTGACATTAAAATAGGAATTTCTCATATATACACTAAAATTAACTGCACTGCATTGACACTCTTTAAGCAAAGCTGCTTTTTGAAATATTTGAGTAAGGTATGCAATACAAATGTTGATCATGGTATTACATCATTTTGTTTTTATTTAAAAAAAGGGCGGTGCACTGTAGAGGTGTGTTTGCAAATACTCTTCTTACATTTCTCTTAATGTACTTATACAGGAAAAGAAAAACAAGCTAACAGCACTATTAGTACCCAAGTATTTGGTAAAAATGCTATTTTTTACATAAAGTATATGAATAAATATAAAAAGGAATATTGACTCAAAAATGTTTTTAATGTATTTATTGACGAGTCAAAATGCTATAAATGGTTAGAATAATATCTATATTTGGCTCTCATGTGTAATGTTGCTGCTGTTCGCAGTTTAATTTATTTGTGTTTCCGTGTTACAGGAACTTAAAGACGGGGCAGCTGCTGCAGAGAATCATCCTCAGAGAAGATTTATCGCACATGGCCTGTCTCAGAGGATACTCCTACTGTGTACGTCTATCTGCTTTTCATATAAGGGGTGCTGCCTGTTTTCTTTAAAGGGGACCTATCATGCAAAATGTCTTTTATACATAAATATGTGTCAGGGAACTCACGCAGCGTCAGAAAATAAAACCCTCTCTCTTTTCCTCCGTACCCAAATCTCTAAAAACGGGGCTACAATGGAGCTGATCCAGATTTATGTCCGATATGACGTAATATCTGAAATGTGGACCCACGGCCCTTTCAGAAACGTTGCTATCAGAAACAATGCCCGACTGTTTTGGACGTAATATGGTCGGTGTTTACATTAGCATGGCTAACACTCAGAGCTAACCTGTACTGGAGAGCATGTGTGTGAAGAAGCAGGAAATAAAAAGGAACTCACCTTGTGGTATAACCGGCAAGAGAGAAAGCCTTTGAGCTCCAAACTGTTTCAGAGAGAATCCTTGATAATCCATGATATGGCGTTTCATCACGGCAGTATTTAGTTTAGACAGTAGCTGCCGGGTCCCGCATGAATTTTTTTACAGCTTTATTCCCAAAATCAGCACTTTTGAAACAGGAAGTGAAATAGAGGGATATGAGGCATGGCTAGAATGGGTGACCTGTTTGGTATTTTGAGCAAAACACTTCATAGACATGTTTTTTATATATTTGTATATATCTGCGACCCATGCTATTGCCTAAAAATAGCATGATAGGTGACCTTTAAATGACCTTTCTCACTCTTCATAGGGTTTAACATGCTTTGTGTGTTTGTGTGGCTGCACAGGGAGTGTTGTTTGTCCTGCTGCAGCATCAGTTGTTCAGCTCTCTGGAGGAAGAAGTAAAAGAGAAGGATGAGGAGAGTAAGAACATGGCTCTGTTCTCCTTGGTCGCCATTAACCCTATGAATGGAAAATCTACCCTCGCTACTCGGCTGTATCCGCCCAACGCCTGGTCCGGCAGGTGAGAGGAGGACTGATGTGTTTGTGTGTCTCTTTATATATACACACTTTTGTTTATACACTCTAATAGGGCACTGGCACTGTAGAACAAACTGCCTGAAGAAATACAAAATGTGTTTGGTCTTTACTTTTTAAAAACACACTTTTATAGACTAGCTTTTAAGTCTATGCACCCTGTCCAGTAAAGTCTTGATGTGTTCTGAATTGCATCTTTTGTATGTGTTTAGTTGGATCTGTTTTCCTCCTGTATGACCTTTTTTATTGGTTCTGCCTTTGCATTTCTACAGCAATGTTCTCAAAAAGTGCCAAACAAATAAAGGTTATTATGATTATCTGATGTAACAATCTGTATCTGCGTGTGTGTTCCTCAGGCTGTGTGAAGCAGACGTTAGCGGCTCCAGCGTGGTGGGCCTGAGTCAGAGCGGCTGTGTGTGTGTGTGGCAGCTCTGGCCCCGGGGGCCCTCCAGGATGGTGCCGGCCCCCGAGAGCGAGGGCTGGCAGCTGGCTCGATGGGGGGGAGAGGGAACGCTGCTGACTGGACATCACAACGGAGACGTCACCCTGCACTGCTACAGTCAGACTTCTCTCTGCCACCAATAAGACTTTCTGAAGATCTGATCACTTTTATCCCAAAGCAATCTCCGCCCATCGCTGTGTGAATGTTTACATGAAGATTTTAACCTTTTAAAATACTTCAAAATCACATTTGGTTCTGTGGCGTCTCGTAATCCCTGTTATTTTGTTGATTTTCAGGTTCATGTTTGTATTTTGTGCCTCTACTGTGACTCACTGTTTGCATGCTTAAATGTCCAATGCTCAAAAACCTAAACTACACACTACGGGGAAGGGGAAACCCCAAAAAGCATAATAAAGTAGTCTCTGCTAAGATTTGGTAAACGGCACATATTCAACAACTCATTGAACTGCTGGTACTCAGAAAACAAGACTGAATTATTGAAGGGTTAGTACTTCCTATTTGTTTTCCTTCAGCCTTTCTACACTGTTAGTGTTCATAGAGCCCCAGTATCACACTCTGTGAGAGTGTTTACTTAATGATTGATTTTCACGTTTTAGACCACTGTAAAACCAACTTTGTGTTTTATTACTGCTGCTGTTATGAATGTTCCTTACTGTTGTTACTTGAATATGTTGTTGCATGTCTTGTATTTAAAAGAAAGAAAAGTGTTGCTAAAGTTTGTTCTTATCATTTACATTAAACCTTAAATATGTTGTATTTTTGTCTCCTTTTTGTATTTCTATAGTTTATTCTATTGCCCTAACAACAAACGCTTAAAACACAATAATGTTTGAATAACAGCGCTATTTTTTTACAATTCTCAATACTAATATAACTTCACAGTCGGTACGAACTAGAATGTACTAAAATATTAGTAAAATATTGTATTTGTAATTGGGGGGGTCATATAGTTATGATCTCACCCTGAGACATGCATGGTGTGTTTTTGTTGCTTTATTTAATTTTGAATGTTAAAAACTAACTGGGAAGTAAAATATTTGAGAAATGTCTGTAACCTAAATAGCAGTTTGTCAAATCCTAAAAAGAACCTAAGCTGTTTGGAGATCTGTCAGCCAGGGGGCGCCAGACTGATTTACTCTACATGGTTCATTGGCACATTGACTGTTTTCAGACTGCTTTTTAAAATGTTTACCTATTGACATTAAGACACACAGTTTAAATCTTCCCCGGCTCCAAAGTCAAACTACTGAGGTTGTTCATCTTGGGTTTGTAATAACTACTGGGGTGTATTGGGGGCCACTTGCAAGAATGATGATTCATATAGTGCAAAGGCTGTTTCCTGTGAAAAAACGTGTTTAAATGTACTCCAAAGGATGGTATGAAGCACTGCGGATCATTATATTTCAACATTTCCTGTATTCTTATATCAGGGACAGTAAAGTGTGAAAATATTCTGTGTAATTGGACTCTTTAATAAGCGACTTTGCTTCAAGTGTGCATAAGAATGTTAAAATAAACCCAAAAAAGAAATGTACATTTTGATAAAAACACTCATTAAAAAGGTAGGGTAGGTAAGAATGGAGAAACCAGCTCGAGTGCGCGAGAATTTGAAAGTACAGAACCGAAAAAAACCTGCCCCTTCCTTCAGACTTCCTTACAGAGCCCCTCCTCCAACACACACGAACGCGCACATGACCAATGAGGGCACGAGATTGATTGATTGATTGATTGAAAAGTGTATTAACAGCTTGTATATTGGGTACAGTACAGTACAGCTCAAAACACAATTGTTAAGGGGATGCAGACCAGAGAGACTTTCGTCTTGTTTACATCAGGGTCCCCCATTTCCAATTCATCATAGAGATAAGTTTGTGCACGAGATGGAAGGCTGACAGGCAGGTAGGCCATCCAGTGATTTTAGCCGGGCCGGCTCAGATGATTGGTCGTGCTTTTTACAGCGCCACGGCTTCCACAGATGATATTTTTTTATGGATTCATTGCTATCGGGATGTTAAGAGCATTCCATGGAATATAACAAAAAGTGTTTCTGAAGTGAATTACCTACCCCACCTAGATTTTCCAGAGATTTAACAGAAGTGTTGATAGTTCAAATTTGCTTTTAAAAAGAAAAATAACTTTTCTGGTCAAGCATCGTCAAGAATGAAACAGTAGTTTTTGCACAGCCAAATTATAATATCTTATAAGCAGCACATGAAACAGACTCCAGTAATTTGTCAAGTTAAAGAGAATCTTTATTTCAACTTGGGTAAAATCAATCCATCTTTACAACAGGTATGCATATTCAGAAGTATATGTACAAGTTTGCATGTCGTGTTGAAAAGGACAAGACATCTAAAATAGACTTATAAAAGTAGAATGTAGCTACAGGAAGAATATGCATGATGAAGAAATATTAACATGGTCCATTTCTCTACATACAACACAGATAAAAACAGACAAAACTAGAGAAGCAGACCTGAGAAGCTTTTTCCATCCACACAGCCATCTGAGCCTCAACCTGCACCAAGTGATTTAAAAAACATGACTGAACAAACTATCAAACAAGCAGAGAAATCTGGGAGCAATGTCTCACTTTCAAAATCCATCTGTCCCTTTAAGGCTTATTTGAATGCACCGGTTTAATTAATATGCAGCAATCTTTGATTTACCGTCAGCAGGATGTGTTGGCCAAGATTACGCTTCATCAAGAGTTTCCTTTAAACATCAGGAAATAGTTGGTTGAGGGTCCAAAATTCAACAATGTACAACATATAGAAGATAAATGTTCAATGTACAGCCTGAAAAGTGAATAAAATACATGAGAATGTAAGAGTCCGTTTCTGATTAGACAGACTGTGATTAAAGGTGTGTCTATTGTGCGGCGGGAGAAGGCTTGCTGTCCAGCAGCTTCTCCACCATTAGCTTAGCGTAGCGCAGGCGGCTGGCCAGCTCCTTGGTGCAACCGAACTCTTCGAGCAGCGACAGCTTGTACGTGCGGAACTCGCGCTTCTCGTCGATGTAGGTGACCGCGTTCATGAACGGACACAGGATCAGCTTGGTGTGGTCCTGGAAGAGGGGGGGGGGGGGGGGGGAGGAACATAAGTTCAGAATCGAGCCGCAACTTATGATTATACATCGATATCTGCCCATTATCTTTTAAATTAAATCGGCCGTCGATACAAACATTTCTTAGATTCTCAATGAGACGTCTTTAAAAAAGGTCTTGTTTTGTAAAAAACTAAAGATAACAATTTTCATGTCCAATATGAAACTGAAGACGACGAAACGTCTATATCTGAGGCAAACAGCTGCATTTACTTTAAATATAATCTTAAATATACTAATATTGTTTGTGTGATTTTCTGGTTTTAAATGCTGGAATCCGGTAAACATTTCCTGATTTTCTAGCTGATCCATCGTTTGCCTTTACCTAATTAATAATTAAATCCACATTACTGATGACTATTAATCAAAATTATCATTGAGTTAATATTTTGGGAAAGATAGTCTACCCTACAATAGCGGCAAAAAAACGTCAAGCTATGTGGTGAAAAACATAATGCCATACGAGTACTAAACATCGAACACTAGTGACCCATGAATAGTTGAAACTCTATATTAGAATCTGCGGGCTAAACAAAATAAGCTAATGTTTAAGAGACACCGGTGGGAGGAGATGTTGTGCGTCTCACCAGGAAGAAGTTGATCTGAACGGTGCCGTTGGTGAGGTGCAGCACGATGGCGCTCTTGGTCCTGAACCACAGGGAAAGGTAGGGCAGGCGCGCCAGCTCGTCTCCGTCCCGCCGGGCCATGTTTGCGCCGGCCTTCAGCAGGTGCTCGCTCATGTAGTTACGGAAATATTTCAGCAACGTTATCTAGCAGGGGGAAGGGTGACAAGTTTGTAAGAAAAATTATATGTAACATAAGTCTACCTGAAAAGTGTAGCCTATTTATAGCTGTCAAATAAATAACCACATAAAACACTTCATCCTAAAATATACTGGAGAAACAGTTCAAAGTACCAGCAGAAAATGGAAATAGTCTAAATTGTTTTGTGGACCCCTCACCTTCTTGTTGAGAGCCGGGGGGAATGAGCGCGCGCTCAGGTAGGACTCTGTGGCCGTCTTGTCGATGTACTGCAGGCTGTCTCCGTCGGTGTACATCATGAGCCGCGTGTAGTCGTTGAACAGCACCCCCACGCTGTTGTCGCAGAGCTGGTAGCCTGGAAGACACATTCAAAAACAAGTTATAATGAAACCTGTTAAATGACAAATGTTAACCTAAAAATAATAACACATGTCAGCCCTATTTAGGAGAAAACTACACATCCTCAACACCATTTCAAACCTACTTAAAACAAATCTAATTGGGCATTTCTCTGCAGCCATGTCTTGTTACTTGGAGGCATTTAACAAAATACATGATGGCCTCATGTTTCTGAAGCCGTTTCAGGGCCCTGGTGTTGTCCACTCTGGCACACCGTCTTTCACCAACTTGTGTTTTCTTGTGCATCATATAGGGATTTAAACTTTATTTTGCAAAAAATGACAGCAGAGTTTAATAACCTTGCTTTCCGTGATGCGTCAATGAATCAAAGAGTTAGTGTTATCAGTTACACTTGAGCTTTTCTTGCTGGGAAAAATGTCTATTTGCTCAAAATAACTGGCTGAGTCCCAATTGTGACACCTGAAGCACCCAGAACAAACAGCCTTATATGAGCAGTGAAGGACAAAGCAAATGTTTTGTATGTTGCTTTAAAGATGATAGATTTTGGATATCGTCAATGGGAAAAGAGTTGTGCTTTCCTAGTTTTTAAGGGTGCATCACTGTAAACCTACAAATGTCCTGAACTAACCAGACAACAATTGTAGCATATCATTTTTTTTTGTAAAAGCAAGTTTTAAGCAGTATTTGGTCTAAATGTTATTTTCTCAATAGCAACCAACCAGAGGATTTAGCAAATGTTTCATTTGGCTGCTAGATGGATGTAGAGTCAGAGTCTAATTCTTACCTAATCCATATTTGTCAGAGTAGTCGACCCATTTGCTGATCCAGAAGATGGGAATACATGCGGGATCCTCTGCCTCTTCTAGAAAAACAGAATAAAATCTTTGTAAGTAAAGTTCACAGTGGCACAAAAAATATCCAAACTTTTGAAATGTGCAAAATTGAATCTTATTAGAAAAATGGTTTGAGTCTGCACTCACCTTGGCAGATGACTGCCTTCTCAGAGGGCTTAGCAGCGATGATGGTGTTGAGCTGCTGCAGCATCTCTTTAATGTGGCACTCTGCCGGCTCAGGCTCCCTACACAGAAAACACAACGGTTACACATACACAAAGATGACTTTTCTAAAATAATGTGACACAAATTCATTCTAAATTGTCACACGCTGGCTTTCTCTACACTGTAGACACTTCCATTCAGGTTATTTATTTGTAGCCGTAGGAAGATATGGTTTGCAGATAAAAGGGATCCATATGACGCACATTCTTAAACAACGCAACAAAGAAATCTCAACCACAAAAAGCACCCCTGCTCCGCCACATCTAAAAACCACTAGTACAAACTGGAGGAATCCACAAAGTTAACATTTCAAACATCTCTCACCTTTGCATATGCTCATCCTTCATACCCACGTTCTCTGTCCCTGCTAGAAAAGGAGAGAAAACAACGTCGTGAACTCTATATCCAACCGAAACATTTCAGAATACATTTAATAATATAACTTCTGCACAGAGTTAGATGTCATTTTTT